CGAGGTCACATGCCGCTCGCGTTCCGCGCCGTTCGGACGTCTCTGTTATTAATTAAACTTTTTAATACAGTGAGTGTTTGTGTGATTTGATTCTGTGAACGAATTGTGATGACGATTATAGGTGAGATTTTATTTATTCTTCATTTATTATTATAGAACTACTGTTTTAAACGCGCAATGAAAAAATAATTTTAAAATGTTTAGAATTTTTAGACTAGTGTTTTTAACAAAGAGAATGTAGGTATTTCAAAGCCTAATTTCAACAAACACGCAATACTATTAACTGAAAATTCCTTTTATATGTTATGTAACACATTTTTACCATAGACATGACCTTCAGACTTCGTATTACGCGTAAGTAGGTACGGCTACATATAAACTCTGTGCTTGATTTCTTTGCATGCGTCCCTCGACAGTTTTTTCGGTAATTCGGTACAAAATCGCAATGTTTCGTGTCAAAGACAATGTTAATCGATTTATATTGCGTTCCCTCGTAAAAATGCCTCTAAACGTTGTCCTCGATAAGTACAAGAAGGATAGGAAGTTACGATTGGAATTTATTTGTATGTAAATGATTTTGAGGGTAATAAATCAGATGTTTCATTTATAGTGGCTCATTTGTTGATGGATCGAGTCAAACTGCTGACGGAAGTATGGTTTGTGTGACCTATAAATAGAAGCTCTATTTTTTACGTTACGTACAATTTTCTTTTGTACTGTTACTTTGTCTTTACAATTACAATGACTGCACGATTGGCGCGGTGGCTCGGTAACGCAGCGTGTAGCGGGTTCGATTCCCGCACGGAGCAACTCTTTGTGTGATCCACATATTGTTGTTTCGGGTCTCGGTGTCATGTGTATGTGATATTGTATGTTTGTAAACGCACCTATGACACAGGAGAAAATCCTGGTGCGGGATAAGGTTTTTTTTAATAACAATAAAAATAAAAAAATACATTTCATAAAATCACATTGACAATAAAAATTCAAGGAGCATCTCTTTATTATACTTACTTGTTAGTTGCCAGAATATTGGCAGCATTCCCAAATTGTATATATGACAATGCTAACTCCGTAAAATATTGATTCAAGCTTTCTGCTCTAAAAAAGGATTGACAACCTTTGCATAACTCCTTGTTATTTTTTTTACAGAACAAACACTTTTATAAACTTTTCTTCATTATGCAAAATGCAGCAGTCTTATACTAAGTTCAAACTGTTTTTTAATACATTAAAAACTCTTTTTACAGTTACAAGTACTTAAAAATTTGAAGCCGTTAAGCTTACGACCGCGAGAAGGTCTCGGCTCACAGATTGGAAAACACTGTTATAAATAAATAAGAAGCAAGCTTCATCTGTAGATCCATTGCAGATTAATCTGTGGAAATAAAAAAGTGGTTCTTCTGGAGTATTTCCAGAAGAAAGAGCGAACTCCTTTTTAAAGCGGCCATTTTAATTGTAACTTCTCTTGTGTCGTGGGTGAACGGCGCTGATTACTTACTATCCGGTGATCCTTCAGCTGTTTTGGTTAAATAAATAATGAAGAATGTTGTCGAGTAAAACGTTATTACATTGTATTAAAAAAATATAATTAGATATTAGTCAGGTTTATTTCGTATTAACTACTTCCGCGCGGTTTCACACGCTCTGCTCAGCTCCTATTGGTCGTAGCGTGATGTTTTATAGCCTATAGTCATCCTCGATAAATGCGCTATCCAACATAAAAAGAATTATTCAAATCAGACTTGTAGTTACGGAGATTAACGCGTTCAAACAAACAACCATAAACCTCTTCCGCTATATATGTATAATAGTATAAGATATAAGACTATATTGCAATCACATGTCCTTTCCATTACCTACCATAAATCACCATTCTACCTTTGTTTGAATAGAGCCCCCATGCTAAACATTGCGATTTGTGAGACCCAACGTTGTATAATTTATGCAAAAGCCCTTGAGAGTCATGAATTCCTAGTACCAATATTAATGTTCCATTGATTCCAATGTTTGGTATTTTAGTAACCAAAGCGTTCTAGTTGCTTCTGTCGCTTTGTAAACGTTTCCAGAAATCAATTTTAATAATTTACTTTGTCTGTGTAAATGAAAACTTCGTACCTACTATGCTTATAATATGTCGAGCCGGTGCTGCCGCTGCTGCTGCCGAGAACCTCAAACGGCGAAAGTATGATAGCCTGATTGGCAATTATGCTTTCGAACCGTTTGGGGTTGAAACTTTAGGGCCGTGGGGCCCAAGTGCACATCTTCTTTACAAAGATATTGTAAAGAGGATGGTTGACACTTCAGGTGATCGAAGGGCTGGCTTCTACCTTGGACAAAGGTTAAGCATTGCCATTCAACGTGGTAATGCTGCCAGTCTTTTGGGCACCCTACCTCACGATAATGATGAGGAAAATTTTTTTTTTTTGATGCCTTATTATAGCTTATTTATTTATTATTACCCTATGCTTATGATACAGACATAATATACACACTTCTAAGTGAAAGAAAGAAACTATTTGTGCCTTTGAAGCAATTGGGATGATGACAAAGTATGAAAAAAAAAAATATAATTAGTCCGTAACTTATGTAATGAAAAAATATTAGACACGTTTTTTTGTCGTATAATATACCTAATATAATAAAACAATACTTCGATAAATCGAATCAAAGTTTAGGAGTGGGGGCTAAAACGTCATTTCTACGTATAAAATGTACATAGAAGTGACGTCACGCGACATTTCAAATCAATATATCGTCGAAAGTGTTAGTTTCTGTAACAAAATAAAAAATACGTGTCTAATGATTTAAAATAATCTACCAGACGGACATTAAAATAGAAATTAGGCATCTACCCTATTACGCAAAAATAGGGTCTTTGTTTAATCAAATTCTTGTAAGGTCTAAAAATAGCACATCAGCAATGAATGACGTACAACGCTCTACTGTAGTAGTAGGTACAGGAGATAGATTTTCCAACATCAATGAATCTGCCATCTTTTTCCCCTTTATTGAGCGAACGAGATAGTGCACTCTGTGACGTCACAGGACTGCGTGTCCTATTTACTAGCCGAACGGAATTACATTGCAATTTCATTGTCTACTTTGGAGTAGCAATTCATGCAAAAATGCCCTTTTATCTGAGTGTTCAAGGTCCAATATTGTATACAAATGTCACTTTTCTTTCGCTCAATTTTATGCTCCATTCGATTCTGTGGTCCTAGTACTTCAGTCTGGAATGTAGGTCGATTTCTCCATGAATGGTCTGTTGAATTGTAAAATGAGGCTTAATGGGGTACTAATGGGATAAGCTGGAGTTTAATGCTGTCCGGAAATGTATTCAAACCCTTTGTAGGGTTGCAAACGTTAATGATTGTGAATGTTAAGCCTTTGCTAATACCCTGGTAGGTATTAAAATATTTTGGAAGATTTGGAACAACGTAATCCAGGTGTATTCTTACTTGATCTGTTGGTTTAGAGGAATTTTAGGTTTCTTTATTTGATTACAATCAATTGGCTCATGAAAATTTTATTATTGTTTTGGTTACTAGTTTAGTTTTATTTCAATGTTTTGTTAAAATAAAAAGATCGTTATTAATTAAAAACTTTGTTTCTAGAAATTAGGTTTTCAATATTGTCTTTCATTTTCTTCAATTTCTTGCGCATAAATAAAGGCTGATATAACAATAACCTCCTGCGATCCGAACACCCTAGTAATAAATTTATCGAAAAGTATTATAATTGATACAGTATACAGTGTATATAACCATGTCTAACCGACATATAATAAAATCGTAGAAAAGTCAAACTGTACATTGAATATTTTTTTAAAAGAATACTTTGAGCGTGATCTACAATCGATACTGAAACCGAAAATATGGTTGTTAAATTTTTTTGTCTGTTTGTCTATAGGTATGTATGTCCGAGATGATCTCAAAAAGTACTGCATGGATTTACTTAAAATTTTGTATGGTTATTACTGACAGGTCGGGTCAACATATGGGCTACATCACGCTACCACCACTGGCGTAAAGCGCAGTAAATCACTATTTCACGAGAACGAAGTCGCGGGCACAGCTAGTACACAATACAACAGCAACCGTTACAATCGTGACGTACATCACATACACATATAGCCCACCCATCGTATTACAAATTACGACAGCCCGTCCACCATCGATTGAATTAACTGGATGGCTCAGAATAGCTCGTGTCTGTAACTACCCTAATAGCTGGTTGTTATCGCTCCATCAGGCTAAACTGACGGCCTAATTGATATAGTGCTTTATTGGCTCCCTTCATCAAACAGTAAATGGGAAACCAATTTTGACTAAACGTTGGGGTAGGTGCTGTTCAGAATTGTATTGTCGTCTATTTATAGACGTTTGTTGTATCAAGTGACGAAAGTGTACTGCTTAAAAGTAATGAAAACTAATAAAATTGAGAGGCTATCTATTTTAATATGTCTTGTAGTGTATATTAAGGATATTAAGGATATGATAAGGATGATAAGTAAGACCAATCGTAACTCTGTTCGTAACTGAATTAATCTGTATTTTCTTACCTATATCCGAAAACTTGACTGACTGTACTTTTTTTTTATGATACTTGGAAACCTTCAAAAGGCGCCTAGCTTTTTGGGGAGAAAGACTAGGGAGTGTGGGATTCGTGCCTCACTAAAACCACCCCGGTGGCCACCCTCAGCACTTGTAAGGGGGTCTCCGGATCCTCTAAAGAGACCTGCTCCGGAGCCCCCACGGTGCAACGCCTGTTACAGCACATTCCTAGAGAGACCTGCGTGTTCCTTGCTCATCGCTTTGCACGGCAGCACGTGGTCACTGTACTACCGTCTTCCCTGAGGCCACTGGATGGCTACCTAGAGTCTCCTGACTGACTATACCTAACATTGGAATATCTTTAATAATTTTAAATGTATTCAAAAAGTCTTTAACTGTTGTGTTTACAAAATTATCTTACATTTTCCATTTATTTATCTTCAGAGGCGGAGGTGTGCGTGATGCGCGCGCCAGCAGGGGGCGGCGTGTCGTGCGCGGGAGTGCCGCGGTGGTCGCACTCCGCGCCTGCGCACCAGGCCGACTATGACAACACTCCCGCGCACACGCATCCCGTTTTCCTCCATGACGATCATATTAATAGCCGGTTTGCTATATGGTAAGTAGTAAATATATTATGTTCTGTGGATGTAATTAGGACTCATAGAATTAGTTATAATCGTGATCCCTAGTACTAGTGATCCCTTTATCTCAATCGGATTAACAGCACACACAACATACACCACGCTACGCTACTTCTCATTACAGACCGCTACGAAGCACTACACAATGCTACGTAGCGCTACACTGTGCTACACCACGCTACATTGTGCTACGTAGCGCTACATTGTGCTACATCACGCTACATTGTGCTACGTAGCGCTACACCGTGCTACATCGCACTACGCTGCGTTACGCAATTTCATTTCCATTCTAGGGATAAAACCAAAAGTTGACCTTCTCTCCTCAGAAATATAGAAGTTCAAATTTGGTACTTTGATCTTTGCAGGCAAGGTGACATATCTTCCCTAGAAGTGGATGCAATCACGAACACCACAGACGAGTCGTTGACAGAATGCAATGCGATCAACGAACGCATCCTCCAAGTCGCGGGGCCTGAGCTCAAGGAAGAAATTATCACCAGGGGATATGGTACGGGAATTTCGTCTTATTATTATCCTATCTACAAACCAAATAGTGGTAAAATTAGACTATTTCATATAGAGGAAAAACCTCATCTTAACATCACGCCTTTTATCCGTGGAGGGGTAGGCAGAGGTGCACAATACGGCACTCAATGCTACTATACAATATAACACCCACTATTCACTATTTATGTAATAGGGGGTGAGCCTATTGCCATATACCAGGCACAAATCCAGACTCCGTGCTACTACTGAAAATTTTTAATACTTTGCCCGGTCCGGGATTCAAACCAAACCCCTTGCCCAGCAGTCAGACTTGCAACCACTCGGCCAACGATAAAAAAACTCAAAGTTAGGTATATTTTGTTTAGATGCTTCATCTAAAACCGCCTATGGTAGCACACTGCTGGACTTTCAACCTCCTTTGCGTAATATGACAACTTACCACAACCTCCACGTTTGGCAGGCTGGAGATCTCAATAAAAATCTTGATTTAAAACTGTCTATGTTAATGCTGTTATGCGTGACAAGTAGCGCCATCTGTTGACGTAACTAGGAAACTTGATTAGTTTATTTCCCTTGCGTTGTTACGACACTGCCTCGTTGACCGAGTGATCGCAAGACTGACTGCCGGGCAAGGGGTCTCGGGTTCGGTTCCCGGGTGGGACAAAGTATTACTGGGTTTTTTTAATCCCAGTAGTAGCACGGAGTCAGGAATTGTGCCCGGTATATGCCAATAGACTCACCCCCTATTACATGGGACTCATAACATAAATAGTCAAAAGTGGGCGTTACATGGTACAGTGGCATTAAGTGCTGTAACGTGCACCTCTGTCTACCCCTTCGGGGATATAAAGGCGTAACGTTATGTTATGCTTGTTACGACACCTTCTTAGTATTCATTATTATTTTAATTAAACAAAATATATTTATCAACTTAATTAAAATTGCGTGTTACTCACGTGAATATACTGAGAAAAGCTCTACTAGTTTCGAACCACAGAGGGGTTCTACCTCATGATCAGCGTGCGCGGTCACGGTGACGTCAGTTAGCCGCGCGACTAGTAGAGCTTTTCTCAGTATATTCACGTGAGTAACCCGCGATTTTAGTTAATTTAGTATGTCTCACGATAGTTATTATGAAAATATATTTATCGTTTCAGAATGTCGCACAGGCGAAGTGGTTGTGACTCCTGGCTTCGGCCTGCGGTGCCGGCACATCATCCACACCGTCAGCCCCAAGTACGTCGCCAAGTACCACACCGCAGCGGAAACTTCGCTGCACAACTGTTACAGGTACATTTTATAACTCATCATGATCACTTAGCTACAACCAAGACATCACACCCGTGAGCTTTTAAATCTGTCTAACTGCAGAAACCATAGAAATAAATGGCATGGGCCGATTTTTGAAGAATAAAATTGACAGTTGACAAATATTTAAAGTTATCCCTCAGTAAAAATTTATCTAAGTATTGAAAAATTTGTCCTATACCTACTTTTATGTGTAACTGGGGCTCCGGCTCGATGTGCAGGAGAAGGAACGGGGTGGTTTTTAGTCAGTAAGAGTCTGACACTCCCTCCCCGCCTCACCCAGGCGGGATCAGTCATTCGATGATTTTCCCCCTTAAAAAAAAGAAAATACCTACTTTTATGTAGTTTATAACTGTCCTGTAAAATCCTGAATTGTTTAGAATCATCAACAAATAACATAACTGACGTTCTTAACCTAAGTAATGTTAAATAACTTAAGATTAAGTTCATATCTTACACACACAATCACAATATCGAACTTATCTCATTCATCACACCGCCTTGTTCATTAATATTACATAAAATCACGCCTTTTATCCCCGAAGAGGTAGGCAGAGGTGCACATTTACGGTATAACCTTTTCATTATAGACACAATTAAAGAACAATAAGTTGCGGTCACCGGTGTCCTCGTGGTATTTGACAGTTTAATGCCACTGTACAATGTAACACCCACTTTATACTATTTATGTTTAAGGTCCATGTAATAGGGGATGAGCCTATGAGCCTGTGAGCTAGCACTACTACTGAGATTATTTTTTAAAACCCTATTTTGCCCGACCCGTGAATCTCACCCGACACCCCTTGCCCGGCAGTCACACGTGCGACCCGGTCAACGAGGCAGTCTGTCAGTCATTAACTCGTCGAGTACCGGTTTTGTAGACACAATTATAGAACAATAGGTTGCGGTCACCGGTGACCGCTTGGTGTTTGACAGTTTAATATTATAAGCCTGCATTAGACGGCTAACACGAAATATAATATTTGTTTTCCAGGAACGTGCTCTGTAAGGCGACGGAGATCGGTGCTCGGTCCCTAGCGCTGTGCCTCATCAGCGGGACACGCACGCAGTTCCCGCCGGACCTCGCTGCACATGTTGCTCTGCGTGAGTTATATAATCACACTCATATTACAAATGTCACGCTGAAACTACTGAACGGGTTCTGATGAAGTTTTGGTATACAGGCTGGGTATGGGCTGACTTAGGTTATATTACTTTTTATCCCGATTTAATGCTCCCATGGGATAAAACATGAATATGCGACCTAAGCCGCGGATAAAAACCAATTAATAAATAAACTTCTTACTTGTATCACGAAATACACACATATCAGACTCAAAGACATTGAACAGACTAAAATTCAGGCTATTATAGTGAGTTCTACCTGGGAATTTCGTTAAATTTTAATGAGAAGCTAATATTTATTTTGTTCGTGTTTTACCTTTTCTTATATTTGATGGGCCGATATTTGACCACTATCTCGCCCGTTGGTAAGCGATGATGTGGTAAATCTTAAGTACTATAATATTATGATGATATAAACACTTACGTCCAGCAACAGGTCTAAAAAAGCTTAATTATAATAACGATAATGATACCAAACACTTCAACTTGCATCAGAGCAATAAATCTCAACATCGTTTATTGCTACGACATAATTTGCAGGCACTTCATAATTGTACTTGTGCAGGCACGATCAGACGCCACCTGGAGGCGCAGCGGTCGCCGGCGCTGGTGGTGCTGTGGTCGTGGTGCGGGCCCGACGTGGCGCTGTGGAGCGCGCTGGCGCCGCTGTACTTCCCGCGCTCGCCGCGCGAGGCCGACGCCGCGCGCTGGCGCCTGCCGCACGACGCGCTGCTGCACGACCGCCGCATCCGCATCATACACAACCCACACTCACATAACTCGGATACCGGTCAGCTATACAGCTCCTGTATTTACTGCATGCCTAGTAGACCCATCCTGGGCGCCTACTCTTGAAACCAATCTCAATGCAATAAATTTCAATAATCATTCAATGTCATAGCTACACAACCCCTTCCGTATCTGTTGAAACAGCATTCAGAATACGGAATATAAAACAAAACTCAATACCATTTAGTTCATTCAATATCCACGCAATACGAAATTTCACAATACCAATGTCGATCGATCGGAATTGGATTCAAGAGTAATCCCCCTGGTCCCGTGCAAAAATTGCAGATGTAATGAAAACGAAACTAGCTTAAACCGAAAATCGAAAAAAATAGGTAGTTGGTGAATATACAACAAATTGGGTAGGTAGGTTCATTATTCCTCCTTTATACTTCTTTCGCCTCTAGTGTTTAAATGATCTAGTATCATTGACGACTAATTACATGATCGGAAAAGAGTGAAGCGTCGATTTCTGAAAGATGTATGTCGATGTGTCAGTGTGTAAGTTGAAATAGATTTAATAGGTGTCATGTGTAAGACACTTGTATGTTTGTTAATGCACTTTGGGTGCATTAACAAACAGGAGAAAATACTTACTAATGTTGGGCAAAGTTTAAAAAATAATTTTTGTAAACGCACCCACGACACAGGAGAAATCCGAAGTGTGGGGCAACGTTTAAAAAAAAATGGTGCTATACACGTAGTCGTGGTTAACCTCTACTGATGGTGTTCTAGTACCCAGTACGGTAGTACGGCAGAGTTGCGTTTCTTGAAAGCGTGCTTAATTTGACTGATACCGTGAGAAATTACTTAATAAGAAAATATGGTGAAAGAAATTATAAAATATGGGACAGAGCCGTGACGCATCAATACATCAGTGCATGTAGGTATGCAAGAATGTGGTCTCCAATGTCAACCGTTTTCTGACAAAGTATTTGTAAGTACGACGACCCACAAAACAGGAAAGATTATCACTACATAGTATAAAACAAAGTCGCTATCCGCCGTCTGTCTGTCCCTATGTATGCTTAGATCTTTAAAACTACGCAACGTATGCGTTTTTTTTAATAGATAAAGTGATTCTTAAGGAAGGTTTATATGTATAATACATGCATATTGCACTCGCACGTAGTCGGTAGTTATTCTTAAGACATTATTAAAATAATAACAGTGTCCCTGTACGAAATAACCTGCTAGCATATTCTTGGTCTTGCAATGATGTTGTTTATACCTGTACTAGTCTAATTTAAAATATAAATAGTTGCTCAGACAATGAAAATAGGTTGTTAATCACTTCACAGTTTAAACTAAATAGTCACTTATATGTCAATGTTACACTATTCCATTAATTAACCATTAGTTCAAATTAGTTTAAATAACACTAGCGACAGTTTTGGTAGTTAGGTTCTTCCACAAAACATATAAATATATGTTCTGTGGGTTCTTCTGTCGAATTTTGACAACAGCGCAGTACAAAGTATGCGCTATAATGTAGCTATATACTTATAATAAGTAAAACTGGATACATAAGTACTGAAATGTTTATTCCAAGGTTCGTATAAGAAACAGCGTAATGTATCGTTGAAACTTCCAACCCGAATGGACGTAACAACTTTTGCGCGGGAAATTTTAAACTGTCACATTTGACAGATGACAGCGTGAACTTAACAGCTAGTGCTGCCGGCAACACAGATTAAACTAGTGACGTTAATTTAGTTGATTTCCGTCGTCGTACTATACATAAGTATTATATCAGTCTATTATTTTATGCCAAAATCTCTTTCACATTAAGTACAATGCACTTACCGCTTACCACCAATGTTTACATTGATATAACAAACGATAAACAGACAAATTGACAAAGATTACATGTAGATAAAGGTGTAAATGGACTTTAATTGCGTTTTAAGGGCGGCATTGATTCATATAAAGATAACAACATGTATATTACTACGCAATAATGAAAATAAGGTAAACAGATTAAACTGAGCAGAATATGATAAGACTAGAAAGCTCCATAATAATAATAAAAGCATTAATTAGTTTTGATAGTGAGCACAAAAAATAGAAAATATCTTATTAGCGTACTTTCGCACTATAATCTTGGTTGTCCTTGAAATCCTTCGGGAACAGATTTCCTACGACATTAGAGAAATCCTATTTCAGTGCTTACCTTGCACTATCCATTTTGGCTTCCCTCTATCTTCCTCTTACTCCTCCTTCTTCCAAACAACTTCTTTTTTTCCCTCTTCCTTCTCACAAACAAAATTTAATGTTGCCATATACAAAATTTAAAAGTGTCAGCCCTGAGCTGTCTGGATTTGTACCCGGCGCGGGCGGCGTTTGGTAGCTTCGGAATGTTCTCTATTATAATGAATGAGCGTAAAGTAGTTGAAAAATTCGAATAATTGTGGCAAAAATTCTGATAACAAAAAATAGACAATACATAGTTATATACGTAGGTACATACAAAATTGGGGAGCAGAATCTTCCAGACTTCTCGGGTTACATCATTTTATCATTTTATTTCAACAATATCGATTAAATTACTAATCGAAATTGACTCATGGAAGAGTAAACATTGTTTGTTGACACAACGATACCTCGTCATCATTATACATTATGTCATGTTTCTGTACTAAAATTGGTGAAAGTATATTATTTTCCATATGGAGTCAGTACTTACACCATTACAGACCAATATTGCGTAAGCATTTTCCATATAATTCCATAGTTTTAAGTAATTACTATTAAATAATGGAATTTTCTATCTATCTATTGCTCACAAATGACAGAATACTTCACAAACATATAGAAGTGTTTTCATTTCAATCCCCTCAATCCCCTCATTTCAATAGGTATACCTCTATAATAGATCTTCCCCCTTCCAAAGGCTGACAACGCAGTTGCAACTCTTCGAGTGTTGCAGGTGTACATGAGGAGTGACCGATTGCTTACCATCTAGTTACTTGTTTCATCATCTTCAGCGTACAACTGAACTGAACATTACCAAATCACCACGCTTGCTCATTTCCTTCTTTCCTACTCGTTTGTTGCACTGTAAAACCGATCCCAAGTTTTAACAAATATGGCAATACGCCATGAAATTTATTTTAAACTACCTCCAACTATGATGAGTAAACGCGATGATTCATTTGTTGCACCTGCTTTTCGCGGTAACCGGGAAATTTTGACAATCCTTTCTTAGTACGTTATCAAATTCAAGAAATTTTAAGATTTGTATAGACAACATGCTTCTTGACTCAGTTGTTGTGACCGTTGGCCCATACTAGGAGTTTCTCCTGTGTCGAGCAAGATTTCAAATAGATCAAGATTCTGTTTGTAAACCGGCTTATTATTTTTCTAACTGTCAAGATACAATAATAATGAACATAATACAACACTAATCATTATCCTTTAGCATTCATAGAGCATACCCAAAACAGTACTATAAATCTCTACACCATAACAAACGCCAAAAACATGTACACGAATACCAACATTCTTTCTTCGCTATTAAGAGTGATATTCCCATACACAATACCCGTGGGATGCGACACAAATATGACTATTAGTACATAATGCTTATCTAAGATAAAGAATACATATAAATGGGTTATCGATGTATTGACGCATTTAGTATCGATTACAATCGGTGACAACGTTGTTCCGTGTAGTATTACTTCGGCATTCTGATTTATTAATTGTGAAGTGATCATGGAGGTTCAAAATAAAGTGACTACTATAGAGATGAAGCCGAGACCTACGGGTAGGTGTTTTCTAGTATTTTATAATTCGTTATTGGTCTAGATTTTAAGTGTAGCTTTAGAATACGAAATGAGATTGATTCGAAATCAGTTACTGTGGTGTTTTGGCAATTATTTCATTAGCTGTAGCTATGAGGAGATATGGAATTTATAAAATGGGTGACAAAAAATTGGCGCACGTGTGTCCTATAGATACGTTGTTTACAATAAAAAATTGCTTTAATAACACAGCATGGACAGATTGCCCAAAAAGATATGTGGAGATGGTTCTAATAATAGGAATAGCGTCATTTATTTTTTGACCCTAAGGTGGGAGATCCTTTTAGAGCGGGGTCCTGGCCTGGGGCCTGGGGAAGACGAAAGGGACTGTCACATAGTCAAACTCACCCCAGTGTAAACTTAAAATACCTTCCTAATATGGGCAAGATACATATTACTTAATTACTAATGGTAATCAGTTCATAAAAGTATCACATTCATTGATCCAACCAAAACCGATAAGATTTGATACCAGCCCTAAAATATTTGGGCAAAAGCCAGAAAATCCATTACGATTTTCTAAAAACCCACATTCATTCATTTCCGATACCTACTGATGAATGCAGATAATCGAAAAACAATGTGAAAACAACAAAAAGACGAGAATGTTTCGTTATCTCGGATTCATCATGCAGCTACTTATTAGTCATATCTTATTGTTTTATACTAATTTGGTGAATACTGAAAAACATTTTCGATATAACTAGAACGAATGTTATCTTGAGATTATGATCATTAGGTTTAGATTCCTTTTTCTTGATGTTTTAATGACCTTAATTAGTTTGTTAGTGTTAAAATTTACTGGCCTAACCATATTAAACATAGGTAGGTAGTTAGCTACTTTTGTTTCCGAAAGGGCCTGAAACTGACTTTTTGATAGCAGTATCACATTAACATAATATCATCATCTTAATAGTAATATATTCAGCGTGCCACTATCGTAATTAGGTAAAATAGAAGTACCTAAGTAAAAAATGTTACAAAATGTCTTCAATGCTTTTGGGGTTTATTTCCTTTGTTTGTTATGCACCTGGGCTCTTTTATGTAAATAAATTAAACAGATATCTTTATACTATATTTCATACATAATTCAGTTTGTACTCATAGGATAGTTTATAAGTATGTCGTGGGAGCCCGGAGGTTTATGACGCCTGCTTCTCATGAATGGAATGAGGGTGAGAGTTCTAAACCTACCAACGGCAAGTACCACTGACAAACGGTTGAGGAAAAATATCGTGAGGAAACCTGGGCTTATAATTTCTAATTATAAGTTTGAAATCGCCAACACGCATTGAGCAAGAGTGTTGATTAATGCCCAAACCTTCTTCGTGTGAAAAGAGGCTTTGCTCAGCAGTGGGCATTTATAGGCTGTTGATGTGTTAACTCATAGGATAGTTTATAATAAACATAATTCATTACAAGAAACGGATCTTCAAAGTTTCCTCTACCTCTATAAATGCTAACGCAAAAGAAATACACTTAATACTAAAACAAATAAACAGACAATATATAATATAACCAAAAAATAATAATACAAAATTGTAACTTGATCATTGTACAAGACATACCTTACTTGCCTGTACACAGCTATCTACTATAGTGTGTGTGTATACATCTCACAATTTCGGCTCATTTTCACTGATCTCCTTGACAAAGTTACACATTACGTTTACGCCGCAGTCGGTTAAGATAGTATTCCTCTAGTCAAGTGCAAGTGCACGCAAAACATACTCATATGTGTATACAGTTAGAAGTGATTTTCCTTCAATCATTGAAAAATTTCATTTTTTAAAATATTATTGTGTTCAGATTAAAACTAGTGAGCCAAGACGAAATAAAACAAATCACTGTTCATTTATGTTCGGGTAGCGAAATTATAAAAATGTGATAAGTGCTGCATATTTTTTTTAATCACAGAATAATGAGAGTGCTAAGAAGTTTTTCTTGAACTAATTGTTAGTGAAATATGAACATATTTTTTCTGTGTGTTTCAAAATAAAGTAAAATGAAAACTTTGACCTCTAAAAAATAAAACAACATTTTACATTTATAACACAGTTATGTCAAAATAATGAAATGTGGGCCACATTGTTGTTTCTAATTGAACTGAAACAATGCTTGCGAACTGACAGCTGTTTCCCGCCAAGACGCCATCTTGTTTTGTTTATGGTTACGTTCGGAAGCTGTCATAGATAAGGATGTACAACGAAGCGTTTGAATACGATCGTAAGTTTAAGGGATGTTACGCTTAAGAGAATATTATTTTAGTTTCATAAATTGAATATTGTGAATTTTATCGTTCCAAATAATATTTTTATTTTTTACTATTTTTAAACCAAAGACATTTGACCATACAAAAATAGAATCTTTTGTTGACTACTTTACCTTTATCTATTTATATTTACGCGTCATTTTTCTGCAAAGTTTTACTGTGAGGAAGATAGAGCATAATAATTAAAGCCTTAACTAAAAACGAATTAAATAGGTAAGTGCTAATTAAAGAAAAGAACACTAAAAATATTTGCCCTGATAATTTGATTATGTCACTCGTCAGTTATCTATAAACCCACCATGGAAGTTTATAGTACTGTTATCTCAACACGTTTGCGCATTGCAGATTTTCGTCACACGTGACATTGTCCTAGGTACATAATAGGTATTACTCATAAAATGATAGGAATTTGAAACACAATAAAAATTTGTTTTGGAACTCAAACCATCTTTTTGACTTTACCTTTTTTGTTCGCCTTTTTTTACTGTACCTATAATATATCTGTAAATAACATAACACATATACCTTTAACCAATAAATTATTTGAAAATATCCAAATAAATAGTCCCAGGAACTAAAGGAAATGTGTCAAAGGAAGAATAGAATGGAAATGAAATAGAAGAAAATGCAATGACCATTCAGTAGGTACCCACACGTCCCATTAAAATTGAAATCTTGCTAACACGCTAACTTAAGTTACCCTTTGTCCATCAGCTGAAGATGACACGTCGACGTACGATGAGGAGGCAGCAGTGGAAGCGGCTGCAGCGTTCGCCCGCGCGTGCGCACCCGACACGCAGCGCCTGCTCGCGCCAGCCAATCAACGACAGCCTTACGAACGGAGACCGCGCATCGACAACCAAGACCAGTAAGTACTTAGTTAACTCATTATTAGAAGGGAGAATGACATCATTAACATAAAGGATTGGACGATGAGTATATTGATGATAAGGTCTTGGGTAGCCCTATGCCAGTAGCGTAGCTGGTTACGCAGAATTTATAATCGTTTTGTTAATCGTATCGGATCGAATCGGATATATCGATTCTAGCAAGGGAATCGATCCGATCTTTGAAACAGTGCTATATAAGCTCTTTTGTGAACTCAAATGTATAGATATCTGCGCATGTATCATCTTTTGATTCGAGACAACCGCCTCTGCAGTTAGCACCTTCAAACGACAATCTCATCGAACATGATCAGTTTCAACTCAATAATACTCAATAAAGTACTGAAAGTTAATTCTTCCATGTTGTTTTTATAGTGTTGTAAATAAGTTTAGGTTTCCTGATCTAAGCAACTCATTTTCTCTGCCTAATTTAGGATAAGTCCTAAGTTAGGCAGAGTGAATGCGTTGCTGAATTATTCAACGGTTAACTGAGGGCGACGTCATCACCACCAAATCACCGAACAAGGTAAGTGGTAAAAACGATTATACGCAAATCGCAATTCGTCCTCGGCCTCCTTAATCTTTGAACTATTTTGGTACAGGAAATGCACTGTTTCTTACGTCAAACAGCCTAAAGGAATAACAATGAGTAATAATCAATAAATCGTGTAAACTACGACATGTTTGAAGCGTTCACACAGAAAATATTACTACGTTGTACCACCCACGGTTTCTATTTTACTACTGCGCATGACTAACAATGCTATCTATTTTAAGAAAATACTTAATATAGCATTAGCTTAACGTTCGTGTGTAGGCAGATGTATGTATAAATGGCACACTCACTTTTCGTCACTTTGCACTCGTCATAATAGGGTACTGAATATTTTTTTATGGCATAAGCCGGTAAACGAGCAGACGGATCACCTGATGGTAAGCAATCGGCGGCGCCCATGGACACCTGGAACACCAGAGGCGTTACGAGTGCGTTACCGATCTTTTGGGGATTAGGAGTTAGAGGATCGTTGGGGATTCAGGAATTAGGGAGATTGGAGAAGGGGAGTATAATTGGGCCTCCAGTAACCTCACTCACACGACGAAACACAACGCAAGCGTTGCTTCACGTCGGTATTCTGTGAGGCTGTGGTGGTATCACTCCGGTCGAGCCGGCCCATTCGTGCCGATTGAAGTCGGTTTTTATAAATATAGTTGATACAATACTTATTTTAACTGCGATCTTCAACCTGTCTGTCAAAAACGAAGATACAGCAAACCCTCTTAAGGAGTCAAGACCCATTGCTTAGTAGAGAACTTGTATGGGTTGTGGAGATAGTTCACCAATTACGTTTTACGTTTTCAATTACATATTATCAAAGTAAATAAAATGAATCTCAGTTACATCAACATTGATGATAATTTCCTGTTTTGCATCAAGCCCTGTGTGTTTCGTCTCACATGACAAAGTTGTCCGTTGATAAGGGTGGCGTCACACTGCAGACTGTTCTCGTAGCGCTGACACGATAACATTGTTTGAACATCAACGTTTGACATGTTTGCACAGAGCTTTATTTTATTCAAAATATGTAGGACGGTAATGATATATTGTTTAAACTGACATGTTTTACTGTTCTTTAGATTTTTTAGGTTAAATAAGCCGAGGTTTAGTGTTGTCCTAAATGCCGTCTTGTAAAGGCTTCTTGTAGTTTTAATAAAACATATCCCTTTTCTCTCTTTTTATGTAATGATTTCTGAAATATTTTTTTGGTAAACGGTTTTCATAATGGTTTACGTTTTCTAGTTTCCATAGGTATTAACTGTCTTATCTATTAATCTAAGTCAATCTGATTTAACTAAACAGTGGATTATCAAAACAGTTCCAAAAATCTGACTGCCTCGTTGGCCGATTGGTCGCAAGTGCGACTGCCGGGCAAGGGGTCTCGGGTTCAATTCCCGGGTCGGGCAAAATCTCGGTGTTACATTGTACAGTGGCATTCAGTGCCGTAATGTGCACCTCTGCCTACTCCTTCGGGGATAAAAAGGCGTGATGTTATGTTATGTTGTTCCAAAAATCCTGAAGGTACAATTTAGATACATGGGGGAACCGTCTTAACATGGTAATATCAAATTATGTACTTGTAACATGACAAGGGCACGGACACGAGTCCGTGGAGAAATTCAATTTATTATTAAACAAAAATACATGGTAATATCTAAACAGTTTGATAGGACAATCCCTTGATGTCCAAGGCCCCCTTAGAACAGCCATGGAAAACAATTAACGAGATAGAATCAACTACGACAAACCATTGTTTCATCAGGATCTAGGTCACAAACATAGTGTTTATGCTAAATACCACTTTGTTTATGGTTTTAAATGTCAAGATGTAAAGACTGCATGGATTCTTTGAGCATATTTTTTTGTTATTATTTGAAAGAAAGAAATGCAGTCTTTGTCCAACAGCCAAAACTGTCCGATCAGATTAATAAGCTTGATTCTCTAGCCGAGTTTAGAATTAAATATCAATATAGTATTTAGTTTTTATACGTAAATTAAACACACGTTTCTTTTTATCACCTACTTAAGAATCTACCCTTTAGAACCAGTAAATGTTTCTTATGTTTTTGTTCATATTGATTTTTTAACAAAATACCGTGGCTCTAGGATTTTCTTCTGTGTCCTGGGTGCGTTTACAAACATACACGTTCATATATAAATGATCCGTGCGTAAAACAAACCCGCTACACGCTGCGTGTCTGCGTGGCCGGTTGCCCAGCCACTTATGCCAACCTTTATTTACTTACTTTCTCAGGTATATTGTTTAGCAAAACTGAAATATCGATCATACATTTCCTATATCTACGTATTTACTAATTATTTTTCTAAATTTCACTTGTGACTTATAATCAAACCAAAACGATTTAAATTAAGTAAGTAGCTCACTGGTGAGCTGCGCGACGTCGCCGCGACCGCGCACGCTGCTCATGAGGAAGAACCCCTCTGTGGTTCGAAACTAGTAGAGCTTTTCTCAGTATATTCACGTGAGTAACCCGCGTTTTTACTTAATTTAGTATGTCTCACGATAGTTATTATAAAAACAAAACGATTTACTCTGTTTATATCTGTGGGAAAACATTAATCATCAAGTAGGTAATATCATACCCATTCCCTCTTCTTATAACCTCGTGTTGATAGTGGGTAATTTGTTTTTCACTAGATGATAATAATAGCTACATGTTTGTATTAATTAATTAAAGTACATACATAACACGACTCTAAATAAATATACATTTATTTTTCATATCATTCCGTACAACGCTCATCTATATATATAAAAGAAAGTCGTGTTAGTTACACCACTTATAACTCAAGAACGACAGAACAAATTTGGCTGAAAATTGGTGGGGAGGTAGATTAGAACCAGGAAACGGACATAGTATACTTTTACTCAATACTTTTTTTTTTACTTTTTACCGAAAATTAAGAACGGGACCGGGAAATATCGGAATTGCGCGTACGAAGTCGCGGGCAGAAGCTAGTAGCTAATATTTATACAATCCAGTTTGTACTGACATTTCATGTTTATTTATATCATGATTCAAGTATGTAGTTCCGTTATTTTAAAATCTTTTTTGTGTAATATTGTATGAGATTGAGATGGTGTAAGAAGATCATTTGTTGTTTTATGAACTTCAGCATAGAGTCTCTCAGAAAGTAAGAAGTTTACCTGATCAGAGGCTTTAGTACGAGTTTCTTTTTCGTTTAAAGTAATTGTAACGAGTACGCGTTCGGCGCTCTGATTGGCCGGCACCAATGACCTAACCAATCGGAGCGCCGAAGGCAGTCTCGTTTCGATTATTTTTAACGTAAATGAAACTCGTACTAAGGCCTCAGAGGGCTTAGTACGAACGCGTTCGGGGCTTTGATTGGTTGGTTCATTGACCGTTTCGAATATCTACTTTAAACGTAAATCAAACTAATAATATGGCCTCAGATAGTAAAAACCCCTAATAATGCTTTGACTACCCCTATACATGTATAGAAGTACTTTCTAGTTGACATAAATGTGTAATATAAGTTATTACAATAACTATATCATCCTTAAGAAGGCACCAATATGCTTAAGACCTACTTAGAAATAAATTTAATCCACCAAAACCACATGCACTAAATAAATCTTTCATTAAATATTTCAACATTCACTCAGAAGTAGGGTAAGCAGTTATCATTTCAGCAGCTTGGTAGTAAATAATTTGATGACCTGACATACCGCATGGCTGCAGTGTCTGATCTCATAATATGGCGCACGAGTAGTAGATCACGTAACCAGTATCATAGATTAAAAGGTTTTATATCTATATCCCGTCTTGTGGTGACAGCAGAGTATAATACTCATACATAACATCATGCCTTTTATCCCCGATGGGGTAGGCAAAGGTGCACATTACGGCAATTAATGCTACTATACAATGTAACACCCACTTTTCGCTACTTATGTTATGAGTCCCATGTAATAGGGGGTGAGCCTATTGCCATATACCGGTCATACTGAGCAGTTGTAATCCTTACTAATATTATAAACCGGAAAGTGAGTTTGTTTATTTGTTTGTTTGTTCCGCTTTCAAACCGTAACTACTAAACCGATTGCTTTGAATTTTTGCAGACGTAAAGTTAGAGGTCCGGATTAATTAATAGGGTACTTTTTATACCGGAAAACTTTGATATTCTAGAGGGAAAACGAAATTATTGATATAGATGGCGCTGTGTGTATTAGTATATGTCACATAGGCTACTTTTTATCCGTTTGTGACGCGAGCGAAGCCGCGAGTAAAAGCTAGTATCTAATAAGTACATTACAACTGCTCAGTGTCGCGTCGCCGTCCCGTCCCGTCCCGCCGCGCCGCGCCCTCAGTGTGCAGAGACCTTAAGTCTTAAATAGTCCATCTAGCCTGGCTAAATAAATAATGTAGTTAGCCTCTCCCT